TGGTGGCAGAGCACTGGTTTCCTCTCCGTTTTCTTCCAACATTTCGTCGTTTGCTGGTCGTGTGTTGGAGGAGGCTGGACGATTGCTAATTAGGCAGTCACCCGCTTCATCTGACAAGGTGGCATCACCATCTTTGTCTTCCATTGGGGAGTCTGCTTCTTCTTGAAGCACCGTGCTCGGCAGAGTGGATGGTTCCGAAGGGGAGCTGAGGACGGAGACCATGCTGCTTGCTTCCTCATCCGCCATTATGGCATCAGCTGGCTCAGGCGAGGTCGGAGTCTGGCATGCTTGATCACCTGCCTCCGTGGCAACATCAGAGACGGTGAGAACATCTAATCTTCAGGTGCACTCGGCTGCGGCCAAAAGCAGCCATGTACCAAAAGGCCAGGCTGTGGCGGCAAGACTAGTTCCGACCCTGGGGCGTTGAGGACCGGCTGTGCCCTCCACGCATCATAAAAGTAAACACGGTGCAAGGCTTCAAAGGTGTAATCCTGCGCCTTACGCTGCTCAGCAGTGTTCAGTGTCGGTTGGTAACGCTGGTAGCAGCCTACACTGCACCTTTGGCCAGGACCGGTGCTGTTGTGTAGGAGCCGCCAGCGTCCTGACTGCTGTCCGTCTGTTATGACAAGCCATTCCGGCGTGGGCGACGCATCGACCGCATACCCATAGACTATAGCCCATGCATGGTCGTGCCGCCCGGGAGGTGTGGCTCCGCTATATTGCCAACAAAGCTTTCCTCGACCTGGCTGACAAGTCTCACTTTGATGCCAGGTAAGCGAACCACGTGGAGAGGGCCCTATGCCGAACATTCAGCCTTTGACTTGTGCTACCGATTTGTCATTCCGAAATGGATCAACCTCCTCCCAAGCGCAGGAAACGAACCTAGTTAATTGGTCGGGCAAAAAGGTACAAAGCAGCGCAAGCATGACGAACGAGATCAGCCTCCCATTCTATTCTCACCGTAGTGGGAGCATCGTCAGTCTCTGTACACGGCCAAAAAGAAAAAGCATGAACCTAGGTAGCAAGCCCCAGTGATTGACTCTCAGGCGAGCACTTAGTTCTTGTCCTGGGGCGCAATGCGACTGGACAGCGCGCCCAATTGGCTGGAGCTCAGTATAAGGTGTACAGACGACACAACATTCATGTTTCACCTGGGCGCTGCATGATCTTAGAAAGTCGACAGTCGAGAGCTTGCGCCGCAAATAGGATGAAGCGGCCACCTGGCTATTCGCCACTTTTCGCCACACAAGTGAAGTATACTCCTCTAGGCTTGGCTGTTATGGAGAATGCCTCTGCTGTGCGGCAACACCTCCCTCCTTCCTGGCGGGAGGTGGTTGTTAGCACGAGGTTTGCCCACGTAGGATCCGCCATCTCTACCATGGAGACTGTCATCCAATCGCACAGAACGCAGGCCACAGTGGAGGCTTGGTGCCCTTTCGCTTGTCGCGTTAGAGCTTGAGTGCTTCACTGTTTTCCACGGCCACCTGCAACTTTCGTGCGTTCTCTTGACATTCGTGTACTAGCTTAGGGCTTAGCAGTAGAACAACAAGGTAGTCTGCAACTGCCATATAGCTACCCATTGATCACGACAGACATAATGAGCACTCCTTTAAATGGTGCTCACCGCACAGGCCTGCCACAACAGGCCGTTTGCCTCCCTCAGTTTGACTGCAAGCTATTATATCGCACCATTCGAACCTTTGCCAGAATTAATTGCCCAACAATGACATCATAGCAGTGTCACCGTTTCACCTTTGGTCTCACCTTTGCATGTACAAAGTTGAGTCTCCTCTTTTTCTCGTTCTTGGTTTGTTGCGGTTTTTGGTTTTCGGTTTTGGGGTTGTTTTGTTCGTGTTGCTTGTTGCTTCTTTACAGGAGACTCCAAAAACAGCGCAAGCTGACCTGTGCATTTCCTGCACGTACGGCGGCTCCACTCGTGCAAAAAAAAGCCGCTCGTTTCACCAGGAGACCCATGGGCGCGTGAGTTGCTGATGGGATATGGTGTGTGGCTGGCACTGAGCCAAGAGCTTGAAAATCAAGGGTCCTTGTTCCACGCATTCGTTTTGTTTCTTGCAGTTTGAATCTTGATTGATGTGAGGCTTGTGGAGCTTGGATTGGCTTGAACTTGGATTGGCATGATCTTGGATTGGATTTGATCTTGCGACAGACAGGGCTTGAAGAGCAGTGACGAGGGTTTGAAGAGCAGCCGCTACTTGGGTGATGAGATCAGAGCCGAGAGGGTTGTAATTTTAGATCAGGGGTTTGCTGTGGCATTGCAAGTTCAGCTTTGTGACATGCAGTTGCAGTCCATTTCATTGCAAGTTTAGCATCTAGGATGTTTCTTGTGATTTCTTGCGCAGTTGCATTTCACTTTGTGCACTTGTCAGGTCTTTTGGATGGATGTTTGCACGGCATTGTAGCCCTAGCTCACCTTTTTGCTTCCTGAGCTGACAGGTATGTTGTCCTTGAAAGCTTTGGTTTCGAGGATCCCAGTGATGAGACATGAGAGTCGTCTCAAAAGGGATTTGACCCTGAGATCCCATGACTCGTCTCTGAGGGGTCCTTTTTGACCTGCGTTGTTGCTTGTTGGCTTGGTGGTTTGCGTGCCTTTTTGTTGGTCGAGCTTGACTCTTTGTTGGATCTGGAGCTTTGCTTGAGCTGGACTCGAGTTTACCTTTTGATGGATGACGTTGAGATCACCTTCGAGGACGGGTGTATGGATCTTAGTTGTTGTGTGACCCTTAGTTGTCCAAATGAAACGAAAGAGAGAGAGAAGAGAGACAGATGGCGGCGCCTAGTGACCCAAGGAGGGGTGTGAAAGATAGTGCGTAGCCAGTATGTACAGGGTATGGATCACCTAGTGCCTGTTTCTTAGGTAGATTTTCATTTTTGATGACTTAGGGTTGGAGCCGACTTTGGTTTGTGATCCATTGTTGGTGCTTGGCGTTGACCAACTTGGCAGGATAACCTTTTAGAAGGTTTGGTGTGGCTAGACGTGGCTAGAGAATGGTTAGAGAACCTTTTGGTAGCACAGCGTGTACATGGAGACTGTTTGAGATAGTTCTCTTTAGTTTTGTGTAGGTTAGAGATGACTGTGAACAGTCTTGACTTTTTTAAGAAGAGTTGACTAGCTTTGGAGGCAGTCTGAGCCGACTATGACTTTGCCTCAAGGAGCGGGATCCAAAAAGGGAAACTGCCGCATCCGTGGTTTCACAGTCTGGAGCAGAAGAGTTGCAGACTGGTTCGAATAGTCCGCGAGAGGTTCATTGCATTGGTTCACCTGTTTTTGACAGGATTCGGCTTGTTATTTTTCTTATTGTTCTTGGAGTTGAATTGTGGCGTTGAAACTTCTTCTTTACCTCTTTCAACTTGGTGCTTTTGCGGTGACTGACAGATCACCACTGAGCAGACCCAGTTCTCACTGTTTCTGCTTTTCACCCTCTTCTCCGAGTGACGGTTGGCTTCGACCTTGCATCGAGCCTCAGTGCCAACAAAAAGTTTTGATCACATCCGGGGGAAGGTAGAGCAGATTTTTCGTGGCGCTAGAGAGGGAATGAAGAAGAATGAATTTGTTTGATTGTTTCTGTTTAAATGTGTTTGTTTCAGCCTTTTCTTCGTTTGTCCGTTGGTTGTTTTCTTTGTTTGTTGGCTGCGTTTGTTTGGTTGAGTATGTTGGTGGTTCGTTTGTTGACTGCTGCTTGCCATCTGGCTGGTTGGCTGGCTGGCTGGCTCGCTCTTGTTGGCAGATTTTTTGTTTTTGTTTTTCTTCATTTGTTGCTTGGTTGGCAGCTTGTTCTTTGATTGGTTTGGGTGGTTTGTTGGGCGTGTTGTTTTGTTTTGGTTCTGGTGCTGCATTTTGTGTTTTCTTTCCAACCTGTTCATTGCAGCTGGAGGCCGACAGGAACGAAGAACAATCCAACCACTCCAAACTCGAAACCAGAAACCAACCGGAACCAACCCAGCCAAAATACTACATCCAGGAACAAAAAACACCATTGGAATCAAAAAAACCATTTCCCGCTCGTCGGAGTCTGAAGGTCCAAGAAGCAAGGGGAGTGTGAAGGGCCAACCACCGCCACACCAATGCACTAAAACAGCAACAAAGATGAGCGCAACAATGGCAGAATTTGGTGCCCAGCCCGAGCTGACGCAATGTCGGAGTCAACCAGAGGGTGAGTCCGCGACCCTCAATTCGTTGATGATCCACACGGTGGCCAGACACAGCCAAATCCAAAAGAAAAACAATGCAAAACGTCTTCCAATCACAGGCAGGCACAGGTGGCATGGGCATGCAAAATGGTTCAAATTGAGGGATGCTTGACCTCCCTCTCACTTCGAGAGCAACTTGTGGTTTGACATCCCTGCAGATTCAGGGAATTGCATCGACTGGAAGGTTGATTTCAACACAAAATCACAGCCAAACAGAAATCATGCAACCATTTTTCATGGTGCATTTTTTGTTTTGGCGTGAAAACATGTGTATATGCTGTAATAAAACATGAAGCGACACAATTCAGCAAATACATTGAGGCTCGGCATTTATACGCAGGGGTTTGAGGGAACATCAGAACCCTCCATAAGTGTGTCATGAGAATGCCATGTTCTCAGTGGTAAGGAGGATGCACAAGGAAACACAGGAAGTAGAGTTGCTAAGGAGTAAACCATCATTGACAAATCAACAACAATAATGTGTTTACAATGTGGAAGACTTCGCAATTGATGGTTGGTCGGGGAGTGGTTCCTGAAGCAGGTTTCAAATTTGAGCTGCGTTGCAGTGACATGCTGCAGCTGCTGTTTTCTCAGAGCGAACTGTTGACCCTTCCAAATGTGGCATTTGATGCAGTAAACCGCACACCGCGTCAGCATGTTGTGATGTCATGTTTTGTGATTCATTCACTTCATGTTGCAGTCCGGCCCCGACATGGGGTTCTCAGCCACTAAGTCACTGCGTGATTAGAACTAGGTTGTTGATCAAAGCATTACATTGCAAAATCAAACCAGTTAATTTGATGCTATCCTGCGCACACATGGGCAACGCGTGAATTGTGTGCCATGCAACGTGGATTTCTGCAAAATGTTGCTTGGTTTTGTTACGTATTGTTCTTTGGCAGAAACATAGTAGCAGCCATTGCAGCTGAGCCAAGGGTGGCTATACAACCGACAGCAGCCGAATCCTGGGAATTCATGGCAGTTGCTTTTCCAGAGATGGGTTAGTTTACCAAACGATTAAAAGAGCACTTGTCCTGACACAACATTTGGGACAATTCGAATCACTTGGTCTTGGATTTTTTTAACGACAGGATGGATGCGTTGATCGCTCTCAGGAGAGCCTGAACATGTGGCAAGTCTCCGAGCTTTGCTTGAAAAAGAGGAGGCCAGTTGTTTTTCAAAAGCGGCCACTTCCATATATTTATTTGCCAGGTTGATTCTTGCTTTTATATAAGGACAGACTACGTCAGCTTCGGCAACGTCGTTTGCAAATAGAAAACTCCAAAGTTGCTGGGCTCAGCTTGAGTAAGGCTTAATATTTATTCTTGTGTTTGCTTGGAAACTTAAACGGTGGATGAATCTCATTTCAATCGGCAAAGGGAACTATGTACAGTACATCATTTGGATTCTTTGGACATGCAGAGCTATATTTGCCAAAACCGTTTCTATTTTAGTTGGATCCAAATTTAGCTCTTGCTGCACCGGTTTGGCGCTGTGTCGACTGACATCGACAATTGGAACTTTTTTTTCCTTTTTTTGCAATCAACCTGGCATTCTGTAAGAAGTGGTAGTTACTTGGCCTATGAGGTTTAAAAATGATAATAGCAAATGATGTGTTGAGGTGGATCCACCTTCTCGAGTTTTGGAGCTGCCTTGTGAGGGGCCCGACGAGATGGCAATGAAGGCTTTGGGCCGTTGAAGAACGAATACATTTGTTGGCATACGTTATATGTTTGGAAACCGGAATTTACACAACCTGTTAAAAGGTTGTCATAGAAGTCTAAGCTTGCGAGGAGGTTGCATCAAAACGCAATTGGCCACTGAATTCATTGGATCCGGTATGTCTATCGGACAACATTTGCAACACTCAGAAATCTGTTTTTTTGTATATAGAATCACTTCAGTCCTGCGATTTGGCAATCTTTTCATAAGAGGCCTTGGCCCTACATACGGAGCCTCCGCCAGCTGCATTGCACCGGCCACTGAGATCAAATTGGTGGCAAGCTGCACGCCTTTCAAAAGGAATTCTTGACTCTTTTCTGGCATTTGAGCTTGAAGGATAAAAACCTGAAAGTCAGGGATAGACGATAGATGTCAAGCAGAGTTTGACACCGGCACTAGCCATCAATTGCTACCCACAATCTGCTGAAGTGAGGCTTGGCGTAGCTGTCATGCTGGTTCTCGAGGTGGGGCCATTGAAACGTGTCTTAGCTGCTTTGCAGAAAGTCGTGTGGCAGACTTGCAGGCACCGATCCTGGTAGATTTGGGGGACCATCCCCTGCCATCCAGGGTTCCCTGGAAGAACCTACAAATTCTGCTGCGGAAAGAGACAGCGCCCAATGGGAAGAAGGACAGATCTTTCGTATTCATACGGAGTTTTGCAGTGCTCATTGAAGTTGTATCATGCAATTGCTTCTTTTTGTTGGGTAGAACTTAAGTTGTGCAGGGTTGTATCGGCAATTGTGCAGCTGTATGACATTATGACGCATTCTTTTGACGCGAGGCTGGGCAGTCTGGCGTGCCCATGAAAGACATTGTCGCCTCTCTGCAGCGTCCCTTTGGCGACCGCCTTGCCCGTCACATTCAGCGGATCTTGGGAGGTGACCCTCCCTTGACACGCTCAGAAGTTCTGGAACTTGATGAAGCATGCGTAGGTCTTTTCGACTGGGTGATAAATCTGCTGGCTCCTCTCGTCAAGGAAACAAAGAGTGCGACGCTGGGTGAAGACCCCTGTGAACTACGTGCAGAGAGGGAAAGCGCCTCTGAGGCCGTAGGACAACAGGAGAAAAAAGTGGCGCAGCTGCGACGAAAGCTGCGTGAGAGTGTTCGCTCAGTACAAGCAGCCACGGACTTTGCGGTTGAAAACAATCCAAAAAGAACCTCGGAAAAGAGTGCTTCCAAGCCATTGGAGGTGACGGGCGAGAAATCGCTTCAATATCGTTTGGAAGAAGTTGCTATACCTGCTACGCAGGAGGCCATTTTGCAATCCCTGGTGAAGACCTTGATGGATCCGAGAGGTACCCATCGATGTCTTGAAGTGATTGGCCACAGCGAGGACTGGGAAGTGGAAGGATTTTGTGGAAGGTTGCTTGAAGGGAGTGCTTCCTGATTGGATCAAAATTCTTAAAGAAGCTGTTTAGGGACCTTTTTGACTGCAGATCGAAGACGTTAGGCTTGAGACATGAGATCAAGGTTTGCACCTGTTTACAACCTCCGTCATCCCAGGACCGTGAATCTGACAATGTTGCGCAAGGGCGTGCAGAGGCTGCAGAGGCATGGCTGTTGGATGCTGGCATTCCATCGGAGCGCCTTACAGTGTCCTGGGAAGTGGGTGGTCCGGCTGTGTGCCGCCGTACAGACTTCCGGCTGATGGATGTTGTGGGCAGTGAGCTGGTGATGCGCAGGAAAGCCGAAGATGTGATGAAGCGGATATTTGAGAAGCAGACATTGCACGAGTCAAGTGAGAGGCCAGCCCCAACAGAAGGATCCAGTCGAAATGAAGGCCCTGAGCAAGGAAGATCCGAAGAAGATGCAGCACCTCCTGCAAATCCGGTGGAGTTGAAGAGAGTTGTGGAAGATGCAGAAGAAAGTTCCACGAGCAGCTCTCCAACAGTGAGCATGGAGGTTTCAGGGCAACAAGTGCGGCTGGTTTTCAAGAAGGTGGGTTGCTCTTGCGGAGTCAAGATTGTTACAGTATTGTAACCCTGTCTCTTGATAATGTGGGTTTTGCCATCTAGCCACGCCAGAATTTAAGTTACAGCACATACAAATCTTTGGTGTTTTGGACCTTATGCAATTCCGTGAAGTTCCCCAGGACGACCTCGCCCCACATGACGCGATTCTCGAGGTTGGCACAAAGATAGTTCGCTTGGCAAGTCAATCAAGCAGTTGGCCACAGAAGGAGGCCTCTGGGCAGCAACAAGTCTTGCCGTTGTGACATGTCTAGAAGGCATGGCAAAACGCGGGAAGATCCTCCATTGCTCTCCTGGTGTCCCTGGTCACATGTTGCAGTATTGTTATAGTTGCTTATCATTCTACAGGAAAGGAATGTGCCAAAGCGTCCTTGACTGTTTAGCGAAGCCTGTCCAATCCATTCAAGTTGAGACAAAAGCGGACAGTTCATTTCTTGAATCGTTGAGATAGCTGGATGACGTGAAGATAAGTAGGGCTAGTTAGGTCGTGCTGCCGTTTGATGTCCAACCTGAAGAGCCCGCAGTCACTCATCTGCAGCAGAAATGTTATACTTTTGCTGGCAGCTTACTTGGCATCGTGTATCTAAGTCAGCATGTCCAAATACACAAGCCTGCACTCAGGCCAAGTTCTCGCGAAGAGCAGGTCAGGTGCGATAGTGGCATCAGTGTGTAGAACAAAGCCAGTTTAAGTTTCAGCCGCGCACTCTGAGCCTGTAAACGTTTTCATGTATAAATCTAATGAGCGTTTGGGTGTTTGGGAGATTTATGTCCGCGATTCAACTTGTCAAGAAAGTTGGAGAATTCAGTCAGAGTTGGCAGGCATATCAATTTTTTTGCTTGAGTTTTTGTCACTTTGCTACACAACATGTTGTGACCCTCACATCTATTGACGCAATCGCTGTCAAACAATGCTCTAAACAATTGCACGGAGACTCGCAGGCACATTGACCCTGACGCTGGCTGCAGCAGGATAAACCCCTCGAAAAAAGAGCTTAACAGGCTGTCCGCTTCAGGGAAACTCCTTTTCTGGATGTCTCAAGGCCAGGAGTTCAGTGCACAAGTAGTGGCTGATGAGAAGTGAATGAACAATATGTGGCTTTCACTTCCAACATTTTTCAAAACGGTGAACCTTGCTGATATGCAGGTCTTTCTCCAATGCAGTGCAAACTTGATGGTTGGAGCATGCTGTATTTGTTCCTTTTTTGGATGGAACATGCAGATGTGTCAATATCAGGCTGCAGCACAGGAGACACACCCAGACCGGGAGCACCCCCAACAGGGCCACCTTTGTTCATCATCCAACGTGGCATTTTGTGACATGCTAAAAAAGCTGGCAGAGCAGAGTTGCGCAGATGTGGAGCGTGGTGATGTCGAATGTTGTTGAATCATGGCACTTTCAAAAACTATGTGTTCGGTAGTCTGAGCAATGTTGCTGGACCTGGGTGGTGGAGTCCAGCATGAAGGCAAGCTCTGTATACGTCTCAGCTCAGGGTGATGGGCAGTCAAGGGAGTTTCTCACGGATTCTCATTGTTCGCACTGTCAATCCGCGGCAAAATCTGCCTTGTCCTTGTGTAGTCCTATTTGTTGCAATGAAGGCAGTTTCAACCACCGTTGTGACTTTGCACTAATTTTACTCTTCACACGTCGCTTTGCTTGACGGAGAATGGCTCACCTGGACAGGTGAAACAAGGAGGACTGAGGTCATTGCCACCACTCGAAGGCACTGATGGGTTTGGAAATTTCTTTTGGCTCTGGTGTAGTGGTACTCTCTCTGGAGCCTTTTGTGCCTTTGCGCAGGCAGTTCTTGTGGTCACAGGTGGGCAGCCGAGCTATGGGGGACGTGCTGTGGCAGCTGAGCCAAGTGGGGTGAATGGACTCAATTGCCCATGATCCACTGAGGATAACCTCCCAGATTGGTTGGCCTGCTACTCTCAGAAGTTAGAAGGCGCCTCGGGAGGATTGCACGAGCACCCTTTCCTAACTTGGGAGATGAGTAAAACCTATACACATCGTTGCTTCCACAAGTGGACAGGTGCGAATGAAACTGCAGAAGGCAGTGATGGTTTGGTTCATGCTTGTTGGAAGCCCAGAGGATTGCAGGTTGAGAGAAACTGAAACAATGCCAATTCGGTGCCCCCGCTATGATTGGCTCCGACTCGTTGGCTCCCATTCTGAGGCTCTAGCTGCCTTGGATGCTCCCTTTGCATTGCCTTGCTTGGGATCATTCAGGAGTGTTTGCTGCCTGGGCTGAGTGGCTTGCCTAGATGGTGTGCGAGACGGTCATACAGACTCAAGAAAGACTTGAGATACGGGTGCAGCATGGCACAGACAGCACCTCACCTTAACTGTTGTCAAGAAATGTCAAGGTCAGGTCTATGAGGCGATTTCTGATGGGGTTGGCCGTTTGTGTGGAGCTTCTTTGGTCTATTTGCAAAGAATTTGTAACTTATTCATAAACGCAGAGCAGAGTGCTACAAGACTCGGACAGTTCCCTCAAAATATGAAATCCCTTGTGTTTTCAAAGGATGGTGAGTGGAACTGCGATATAGTTGCCTAGATCAGCACACAGTGACACAGTTGACAGGCTGGTGATTCTGTCAGGTGCCTCTTGTGCTTCTGGCCACTTCGTGGGGTGCGGCTGTCATTCACGTGTCTTTCTGAGAGAGCTGCGATGGACCCATGAACTAGTCACTAGTCGTCAAAATTTGCGAACTATTCCCCATCCTGCAATGCAGGGTGTGTCGGACGGCCCTCATGTCTCTATGACACAAGTCAGAAGTTTGAGTCATCGGACCGCCCTCATGTTTTATGCCCGAAGTTTGACTCCGGCATTTAAACAAGTTGGTGTTGGCAAACACCCAGCATTTGGATGAAACAAACAGCAATCATGAAATGCAAAGACCACACACACAGGCAATGCATCCTCTTCCAGGTGTTTTGTACTTGGCATATGCCTTGTGCACAGCCGAAGAGTGTGATTTTGGGCAATCTCATAGGCAGGGACTTTACAATTTGGCCTGGATTTTGGGTTGAAGCATATACATTGGACTTGGAAGGTACTGGGTTTGTAGGCATATAGTCATGTGCTTGATTGATTGTGGATTTTGCAAGGTTGACATGAATCTATCGCCCTTTCATGTTGCTAGGTTTGCGTTGCCCAGACTCCTTTTTTTGCTTTCGGAAACTAACTTGCAGACAGGACATCCGTGGTCCTTTACATGAATTTTGTTAGCTGCCTTCCAAACAGTGCGAGTAGTCAAGGAAGTGCTGGGTTATATAGGTCATCCTTGCTGTGTTCTGTAGACATTTCGGCTCAAAACCGACTTGGCTTGTGAAAACCTTGGCGGAGATGATAGCGGGAGCCACAAAGACATTCATGGCCGACACGTCACTTTCAGGGAGGTACTTGATGGATTGCATCAATTTATATAGTGAAAGCAATCGTATGGAGTGAAACAGGTGATACAGAACGAAAAGCAATTAGCTTGTCCACCATGCTTTGCCCTTTTGCGCTTGCAGCGTTTGTCGCGCTGACCAACGCCAACTCCTGCAACACAAGCACCTCTGAATGCATTTCCATGCTGTGCTGAAAGCTGGTGCGGATGGGTCAAACCGGTCAAACCCATAGTGTGAAGACAGAGGACTCAGTGGATGTCAGTGGATTCATGACTTTTTGTTTTGTGTTCATGTCCAAATCCTGGGCATCTAGATCAAAAAAATAACATCAACAGAATAGAAAGAGGATCAAAAATAGACAATAAAGGATTAACAAAGTATTCCTTGATCGGCCTCTTCTGCTGCTCTCCTGGCCCTGTGGTCTGCGGGTCCTCTGGTCCTTTGGTCCGCTGGTCCACTGGTGCTTTGGTCCCCTGGTCCCTTGGTCCCTTGGTCCTCTGGTCCACGCCCTTTGGCCCCCTGGTCCTTTGGTCCTGGTCCGGTCCGGTGGGGTCCTGGTGCTTTGCCCTCCTGGTCCTCTGGTCTGCGGGTTTCCTATGGTTTTCTCTTTGTTCTTTCACTGATGCTTTTTGATGCCTGTGGTCCTTTCTCTTGTAGCTTATTGGCCGCAGTTTTCCTGCAAACGTGCAATGCTTTTAGCTTCGGTTGCCTTAGGTCCTTTTGTGCACTTTTAGATTCCCTTCACTGAAAGGGCGCTAGGGTACATATTTTCTAGTGATTCTTTTGTGGTGCTGTGTTTTAACGTTTGGTTCGCTTTGGGGGGAGGCGCTGCGCCCTCCCCCCTCCAGCACCATGAATTCTGCCTCTTGCACTGCGCCTGCCACGAAAACTAACTATGTAAAGGGTCGCCCATCGCATTTGCAGGTTGTCCTCCTCTTGCCCTTGTCTTGGTCGCGCCCCTGTCTGTGGGGCTAGAATATCTTTTTTTGACTCCCTTTCAACTTATTTTTGATCCCCGTTGAATATTCTTTTGATGTCCTTTTTAGAAAGAAAATTACGGATGTGGAATGTTGAGTTACAACTCCACAACCATTGCCTGATTCTGTGAAGTTGGAAGGCAATGATTGATTGACTGGCCTCCTGAAGTACCCGCTAAGTAAGACGTATATATGTATCTCATGTGACTCATGTGCTCATGTATATATGCATATAAATACAACAGCTGGTTGCAAAAAGCACGCCTGAATGCTTGCCTCAAAGACATCCAGTGCAGCGGTTGGTCGACATCATAGACATTGTAGTCCGAGGCGGAACTGCTTTCATTCAGACAGTCATAGCCCTAGTACTCCGAGCTTGCATTGCTCGAGCGGTTGGAGCGAAGCTTCTGTTGCTGATTGAGTTGTTCTAGGTGATTCTGTTTGAAAGCTTTGGGTTGAGCTCCAATTTGTTTACCACCTCAACTGGTTGTGGCCCAGGGAGCAGGATTGGAGCATGAGCACCTGAAGAGACGACAGGTGGCAGAGGTGCAGACGATTCTGGAGGAGTTGCGCAGTTGTCAAGCAGCAGCAGCAGCGGCAGCAGCGGCAGCAGCGGCAGCGGCAGCACAGCGCCCTTACTGTGTTGGTGTCTTTGACACACCTTGATTTGAGATCTCCGACAGGACTATGAAGAACACAGTCAATCCAAAGACTTTCAAGGTCGGGTGGTGGTTCCTGGACATGACACGAATTGCTTTGGACACCAACTTAACTTGATGCCTGCTGTTTGGAGGCCGGCGGCTTCACATCATCAATTCGTGTTCTCGTCCGATGGTCATGCACAGCAGCGGCGCCACAGCGACGCTTCAAGGGGAATTGATCTATGTATGCTGCTTTGAAGTATACTATCAATGACCACTCGTTATCGCTGCTGCACTTGAGATGAACCACTAAATGTTTTGTCGACTGAGGAAATTCCTTGTGGTTCTGGATGTCCCAAGGGCCTCACATGCAATCCTTGGAACAAGTGACTTGGAGCTGGAAAGCTGTGCAGTTTGAGAAACCAAAAAGAAGCAGCAAGCAAATGCAGCTTAGATTTAGACAGAACAAGCCGAGTCATTCCCCAAACAGTGTGGTCACACCAGGGGTTCTTACGGTAATAGTTTTGAAAGGCTGGGTTTGATCGAGGGTGCTCACATCCGTCGGCGGCTAAATATATATATATATATGTAAATTGCTGCTGTTACGGTCATCATTATGGTGCATTCATCATGCCTTCGAGTCTTTCAAGATCTAAGTGCATTTTGACTGCGCAGGCTCTATGGCTGGACTGGGCTGCGCTCTCGTTGTGGTGCTGTGCACATTTTTGGACGCGGGTCATAGGAGTCCCTGTGTTTTGGTGGTCTGAAGTCGACTTTTCGTGGCAGGTGCGGGAGATCGGAGCTGTTTGCTTCGACGTGCAGATTTCGTGGCAGGCGCAGCGCTTTGTAAACCTCGAAGTGGGTGAACGCGAAGTGTCGCGTGGCAGATGCAGCGCCTCTCAGATGTGTGCTCTCATGCTTTCATATGTCTTTAATGTGCTTGCGCACATGCGTTCTCTCATCTGTGTGCTGTCGTGTGCTCGCTCTAGATTGGAGAAGTTCGCTTATTCCCTACATAGTGAGAGCTATTAGGGCTCCTACTTCGAGAATAGGAAGTGCTGCCTGTATGCGTTTTCTTTTTCTCCCAGATAGCGTGAGTTACTTCAAGTATAGGCGGAGCTGCGTGTGTGCGTTTTCGATCCTCCACTGCTGTGTGGCGTTTAGTTCTGCTTCGCGCCGCAAAATTGCGGAAGGCCAGTCAAGAAACGTCACAGACGAGTGTGGCGCGACAGTGAAACGCTACAGGTGAAACGCAAGAAGTCCGGCTGTAAATACAGAAGGCAAGAACGTAGTTCACAAACTCATTGTGCCATCACCGTACATTGTACATAGCGTTGCGAACTGTAGATCACACGTGTATGTCCGTTGAGCACACGCATCCCTCGCATCACAGGCATCACTGACATCTGCCTGCGTGGGGGGCTTTGCAGCCAATGCCACTGCAGGGTGCCGGGAGCCTGCCAGATGTCCATGGCAATGGCTATGCGCTTTGGAACTTGGGTGCTGGTGCTGTTTAGCAGGGTGCCAGTGCACGGTGGTACTGCAAGATGTCTATGGCTGTGTGTGCCCTGCAGGTTGGGCGGTGCTGGTGTGGCTGCAGGGCAAGTATGCCGCAAACCTTTTTGATGTACCGTGCTTTAGGCACGGTCCTTAGTTGAAATTTGTTGCTTCCTACACATATCGTATCTTGTGTTATTTGGCGTCTATGCTGGCGTAATGCACCTTGTTATTTTGTTTTTCTTACACTGTTAACGGTCTCTGGCCGGGATAACTGCCTTACTCAGTTTTGGTGCAGGTTGCGTTGTTTTTACACAAATTATATATCTGTTCAGGAAGCCGTTGGCAGCGAAACTTTGCTAGTTCCCACTTTCACACCGAGTGTTTGCGCAACAGTGTGCCTTTTTTTGTTGTTCCTGTGTAGTCTTCCGAACTGTTGCCAACCATTGGACCATCGAGGTTGTGCTACTTTGATATGCCAGAGTTCCCTTCAGGCTCTCCGGGTTGGAGAAGCATCGCGTTTCAAGTGCGTAATCAGCAGGGTGTTCCCTCACATTGTTGTCATTTGATGTCCACATTTCGCTTAGTGCAAGGCCGGACTATTGCCCCGGGAGAAGAAGTGCAGCTTGATACGCCCAACGACGCCCGGTTTACTGTGTTGGTTTGTGTTCTAGTCAGTACCTGAGTTGTGGTTACAGGGATAACCCTCATTATTCCATTTTTTGTTGTTGTTTGCCATCACTTGGTGTCCACGCGCATTCTGTAGGCTCTGTAGGCGCATAATCACCTCTGCGGAGACTACATGGTGTTTGCGCTGCGTGTGCAAAGTTGCAAGGTTGCGTTTGCACATGTCGATTGTTGTTAGTCTTGATTGGTCCCTTCCCCACTCAGCTAGCCTGATTCTTCCGAATTGTTACCAACACTTACCAACTATCTGAGGGTTGACATTTTTCCCGAAACAGTGTTGTTTTTTCTCTTGCAAAAACATGAGCTGGCCACGATAGGCCTGGCCGCACCTATGCCGTCCGCCCTTTCTTCGCCTTGTCGGCCTTGGCAGGGTTTGTGAGTCCTGCTTGCCCGCGTTGTGGCCCTCTTTGCAGTGCAGTTTTCCCTTTCTCCACTGCCTTGTCCAGGCTATGAATGAAACAGTGATGCAGCGCTTCAAATTTGATATGATATCATCCTCGTATTTTTGCATGACATTTGCTCTTCATCTTGGCGTACGTGGCCCGGGTATCAGGGATATAATTATAGACATTTCCACCAACATTGGATTTGAAGGCATGTGAGTGCAATTCACTCGGACCTTTTTCTTGAGCCAAAACGTTGCCAAGTTAATGGCTGGTTTCGAAAAGGGGACCTTCAAGAGTGCTTGGTACACTTCTTGTTTTGTGCGGAGTGGTTCTTGACTCGCACTCCCCCCGACCTTGGTAGGTCGCTCTGACCTTTACATGCTCCGAGGTCCGGAGCGTATGAGAAAAAGCG